ACAACTGGTACTCATACACTCCCACAATAAGCACTGAAAAGTACATTTTTCAAGGACAGATTTTATCAGAGCATTGATAATTTAAAAAAATATATTGGTGTATAGTTGATTTACAATATTATGTTAGTTTCACATGTACAGTATATTGATTCAGTTAGACATATACACATATTCATTATTTTTCAGATTCTTTTCCCATATAGATTATTACAGAATATTGAGTAGAGTTCCCTGTGCTATAGAGTAGGTTTTTGTTGATTATCGATTTTATATGTAGTAGTATGTTAATCTCAAGCTCCTAATTTTTCTCTTCCCCACACCTTTCCCCTTTGGTAACCTTAAATTTGTTTCCTAAATCTGTTAGTCTGGTGAAATGTGTCTTTAATCCATTTGGAGTTTATCTTTGTGTATGGTGTTAGGTAGTGTTCTATTTACATTCTTTTATATGTAGCTGTCCAGTTTTCCCAACACCACCTATTGAAGAGGCTGTCTTTTCTCCATTGTGTGTTCTTGCCTCCTTTGTCATAAATTAGGTGACCAAATGTGCATGAGGTTATCTCTGGGCTTTCTATTCTGTACCATTGATTTATATTTCTGCTTTTGTGCCAATACCATACTGTCTTAATTACTATAGCTTTGTAGTATAGTTTGAAGTTCGGGAGCCTGATTCCTCCAGCTCCATTTTTTCCCCCTCAAGATTGCTTTGGTTATTCAGGGACTTTTGTGTTTCCATACAAACTGTAAAAATTTTTGTTCTAATTCTGTGAAGAATACTATTGGTAGTTTGACAGGGATTGCTTTGAATCTGTAGATTGCCTTGGGTAGCATAGTCATTTTGACAATACTGATTCTTCCAATCCAAGAACATGGAATATTTTTCCATCTGTTTGTATCATCTTTGATTTCTTTCATCAGTATTTTATAGTTTTCTGAATATAGGTCTTTTGCCTCCTGAGGTAGGTTTATTCCTAGGTATTTTATTCTTTCTGTTGTAATGGTAAATAGGATTGTTTCTTTAATTTCTCTTTCTGATTTTTAGTTTTTAGTGTATAGGAATGCCAGAGATTTCTTTGTGTTAACTTTGTATCCTGCAACAGTATGAAATTCATTGATTAGCTCTAGTAGCTTTCTGTTGGCATCTTTAGGATTTTCTATGTATAGTATCATGTCATCTGCAAACAGTGACAGTTTTACTTCTTATTTTCCTATTTATATTCCTTTTATTTCTTTTTCCTCTCTGATTACCATGGCTAGGACTTCCAAAACTATGTTGAATAAGAGTGGTGAGAGTGGACATCTAAATAGATAACTAATACGAACCTACTGTATAGAACAGGGAACTCTACTCAATACTCTGTAATGGCCTATATGGGAAAAGAATCTAAAAAAGAGTGGATATATGTATATGTATAACTGATTCACTTTGCTGTACACCTGAAACTAACACAACATTGTAAATCAACTATACTCTAATAAATGCTTTTTAAAAATCTGTGAGTCTGTTTCTGTTTGTACATAAGTTCATTCATATCATTTTTATAAATTAGATTCCACACATGGGTGATATCATATGATATTTGTCATTCTCTGTCTGACTTACTTCACTTAGTATGATAATCTCTAGGTCCATAAACATTGCTGCAATTATTTCATTCTTTTTATGGTTAAGTAATATTCCATTTATATATGTACCACATTTCCTTTATCCATTCATCTGTCAATGGACATTTAGGTTGCTTCCATGTCTTGGCTATTACAAATAATGCTACAATGAATAATGGGATGTATGCATTTCTTTGAATTATAGTTTTTTCTGGATATACAGCTAAGAGTGGGATTGCTGGATCATAAGGTAGTTCTATTTTTAACTTTTATAAGGAATCTCCATACTGATGTCCATAGTGATTGCACCAATTTACATTCCCATCAACAGCGTAAGAGGGCACCGTTTTCTCCACACCCTCTCCAGCATTTATTGTTTGCAGATTTTTTTGATGATGGCCATTCTGACCAGTAGGGGTGATAACTCATTGTAGTTTTGATTTGCATTTCTCTGATAATCAGCACATTAAAATTTTTTTTTGACATAGAGCTGCATGAGCTTTTTGTATATTTTGGAGATTAATCCCTTGTCCGTCTCTTCATCTGCAAATATTTTCTCCCATTCTGTGGGTTGTCTTCTTTTTTTGTTTATGGTTTCCTTTGTTATGCAAAAGCTTTTAAGTTTAATGAGGTCCCATTTGTTTATTTTTGTTTTTATTTTCATTACTCTAGGGGGTAGACCCCAAAATTTATTGCTGTGATTTACGTCAAAGAGTGTTCTGCCTATGCCTTACTCTAAGTGTTTTAATAGGGTCTGGCCTTACATTTAAGTCTTTGATCCATTTTACGTTTTTTTGTGTGTGTGCAAGGTGTTAGAGAATGTTCTAATTTCATTCTTTTGCATGTAGCTGTACAGTTTTCCCAGCACCATTTATTGAAGAAGCTGTCTTTTCTGCATTGTATATTCTTGCCTCCTTTGTCATGTGTTAATTGGCCCTAGGTGTGTGTGTTTATTTCTGGGCTATCTATCCTGTTCTGTTGATCTATATTTCTGTTTTTGGACAGTACTATACTGTTTTGATGACTGTAGCTTCCTGGCCTGATTCCTCCAGTTCCGTTTTTCTTTCTCAGGTTTGTTTTGGCTATTCAGGGTCTTTTGTGTTTCCATACAAATTCTAATTTTCTTTTTTTCTAACTCTTTGAAAAATACCATTGGTAATTTGATAAGGATTGCATTGAATCTGTAGATTGCCTTGGGTAGTATAGTCATTTTGACAATATTGATTCTTCCAATCCAAGAACATGGCATATCTTTCCATCTGTTTGTGAAATCTTCAGTTTCTTTTATCAGCATCTTATAATTTTCTGAGCACAGATCTTTTCTTCCTAGGTATTTTAATCTTTTTGTTGCAATGGTAAATGGGATTGTTTCCTTAATTTCTCTTTCTGATCTTTTGTTATTCTATAGTAATCCAAGAGATTTCTGTGTATTAATTTTGTATCCTGCAACTTTACCAAATTCATTGATGAGCTCCAGTAGTTTTCTGGTAGCATCTTTAGGATTTTCTATGTGTAGTATCATGTCATCTGCAAACAGTGACAGCTTTACTTCTTCTTTTCCAATTTGGATTCCTTTTATTTCTTTCTCTTCTCTGATTGTAATGAGTAGGACTTCCAAAATTAGGTTGAATGAAAGAGGTGACAGTGGATATCTATGTCTTTTTTCTGAACTTAGAGGCAATGCTTTCAGCTTTTCACCTTTGAGAATGATGTTTGCTGTAATTTTGTCATATATGGCCTTTATTATGTAGAGGTATGTTCCCTGTATCTCCATTTTCTGGAGATATGTTATCAGAAATATGTGTTGAATTTTGTCAAAAGCTGTTTCTGCATCTATTGAGGTGATCATTTGGTTTTTATTCTTCAGCATTTTAATGTGGTGTATTACATTGATTGATTTTTAGATATTGAAGAATCCTTGCATCCCTGGGATAAATCCCAATTTGTCATGGTGTATGATCCTTTTAATATATTGTTGGATTCAGATTGATAGTGTTTTTATTGAGGACTTTTGTATCTATGGTCATCTGTGAGATTAGCCTGTAATTTTCTTTTTTTGTGGTATCTTTAGCTGGTTTTGGTATCAAAGTGATTGTGGACTCATAGAAAAAGCTTGAGGGGTCTTCCTTCCTCTACAATTTTTTGGATGAGTTTCAGAAAGATAGGTGTTAACTCTTTCTAAATATCTGCTAGAATTCACCTGAGAAATCTTCTGGTCGTGGACTTTTGTTTGTTGGGAGTTTTTGAATCACTCTTTCAATTTCAGTACTTGTGACCTGTCTGTTCATATTTTATATTTCTTCCTGGGTCAGTCTTGGAAGGTTGTACCTTTCTAGGAATGTGTCCATTTCTTCTAGGTTGTCCATTTTATTGGCATATAGTTGTTTGTAGTAATCTCTTATGATCCTTTGTATTTCCATGGTGTCTGTTGTAACTTCTCCTTTTTTATTTCTAATTTTATTGATTTGATCCCTCTACCCCCCCTTTTTTTTGTGGTGAGTCTGACTAAAGGTTTATCAATTTTGTTTATCTTTTCAAATAACTAGATTTTAGTTTCATTGATTTTTTTTCTTTCTCTCTATTTCATTTGTGTCTGCTCTAATCTTTATGATTTATTTCCTTCTATTAACTTTGGGTTTTGTTTTTTCTTCTTTCTCTGGTTGCTTTAGGTGTAAGGTTAGGTTGCTTATTTGAGATTTTTCTTATTTCCTGAGGTAAGGTTGTATTGCTATAAACTTACCCCTTAGAACTGCCTTTGCTGTGTTCCCTAAGTTTTGGGTCCTCGTGTTTTCATTTTCTTTTGTCTCTAGGTAATTTTTGATTTCCTCTTTAATTTCTTCAGTGATCCATTTGTTATTTAACAACATATAGCTTAACATCCACGTTTTTTTGTTTTTAAAATTTTTTTCCTGTAATTGATTTCTAATCTCATAGCATACTGGTCAGAAAATATGTCTGATAAAATATCAATGTTCTTAAATTCACCAAAGCTTGATTTGTGACCCAAGGTGTGCTCTATCCTGGAGAATGTTCCATATGCAGTTGAGAAGAAAGTGTACTCTGCTACTTTTGGATGGAATGTCCTATAAATATCAATTAAGTCTATCTGGTTTATTGTGTCATTTAAGACCTGTGTTTCCTTGTTGATTTTCTGTTTGAATAATCTGTCCATTGATGAAAGTGAGGTATTAAAGTCCCCCACTATTATTGTGCTACTGTCAATTTCTCCTTTTATAGATGTTAGCATTTGTTTTATATGTTTAGGTGCTCCTATGTTGGGTGAATATATACTTACAATTGTTATGTATTCTTCTTGGATTGATCACTTGATCATTATGTAGTGTCCTTCCCTGTATCTTGTAACAGTCTTTATTTTAAAGTCTATCTTTCCCGATACGAGTATTGTTACTCCAGCTTTCTTTTGATTTTAATTTGCATGGAATAACCTTTTTCATCCCTTCATTTTCTGTCTGTGTGTGACCCTAGATCTGAAGTAGGTCTGTTGTAGACTGCCCATATATGGGTCTTGTTTTTGTATCCATTCAGCCGTCTTTGTCTTTTGGTTGGAGCAATTAATCTATATACATTTAAGGTAATTATTAATATGTATGTTCTTACTGCCATTTTGTTAATTGTTTTGGATTTGTTTTTGTAGATCTTTTTTCTTCCTTTCCCCTTTTGTTCACCTCTCTTGTGACTTGATGACTATCTTAGTGCTGTGTTTGGATTGTTTATTCTTTTTTGTATTTGTATCTATTGTAGACTTTTTGTTTGTGCTTCCCATGAGGTTTTGATATAGCAGTCTGTATATATACAAGTTGCTGGTCTCTTAATTGCCAATGCATTTCCATTATCCTGCATTTATACTCTCCTCTTCTCATGATTGCTGGTTTCAATATCATATTTGTGTGTGGATGATTTCCTACCTTTACTTTTTATTTGCCTTACCAGTGAGCTTTCCCATTCATAATTTTCTTGTTTCAAGTTGTAGCCTTTTCTTTTCCACCTAGAGAAGTTTCTTTAGGATTTGTTGTAAAGCTGGTTTGCTGGTGCTGATATCTCTCAGTTTTGGCTTGTCTGTAAGTCTTTTGATTTCTCCATCAAAACTGAATAATATTTTTACTGGGTATTCTTGGGTGTAGGTTTCCCTCTTTCATCCCTTTAAATATATTGTGCCACTTCCTTCTGGCCTGCAGAGTTTCTGTTGAATAATCAGCTAATAACCTTATGAAGATTCCCTTGTATATTATTTGCTTGCCTTTCCCTTGTTGCTTTTAATATTTTTTCTTTGTCTTTAATTTTTGTCAGTTTGATTAGTATGGGTATCCGTGTGTTCCTCCTTAGATTTATCTTGTATGGGACTGTATGCACCTCCTGGACTTGAGTGAGTATTTCTTTTCTCATGTTAGGGAAGTTTTCAGCTATAATCTCTTCAAATATTTTCTCAGGTCCTTTCTCTCTCTCTTCTCCTTCTGGGATCACTATAATATGAATGTTGGTGCATTTGATATTGTCCCAATGGTCTCTGGAAATGTCCTCCTTTCTTTCCATTTTTTTTTATTCTGTTCAAGGACAGTGATTTCCACCACTCCATCTTCCAGCTCACTTATCTGTTCTTCTGCCTCATTTATTCTGCTATTGGTTCCTTCTAACATATTTTTCATTTCAGTTATTGTATTGTTCATCTGTTTGTTTAAATCTTCTAGAGAGCATTGTTAATTTTTAAGGAACCTCTCTTTTGGTCTGAAAAGGCATAGTCATGATAGCACTATTCTGACAGTTAGTTCCAAACATAGATAACCCAGTGAGATTCATTAATTATAAAATGGAGGGTATACACATAATTTTAATTTTAGTTTTAAATCTAGTAGAAAATTTTGGTATTTGAAAGTCTATTCATGAATGCATTACCTCTTAGGATTGAACATCCTGATTTTATTACTAGGAATCTAAATTAATAAAATTATAACAAAAAATTTATTTTATTTTATTATTATTATTTTTGCGGTATGGGGGCCTCTCACTGTTGTGACATCTCCTGTTGTGAAGCACAGGCTCCAGACGCACAGGCTCGGTGGCCATGGCTCACAGGCCCAGCTGCTCCACAACATGTGGGATCTTCCCAGACCGGGGCACGACCCGTGTCCCCTGCATCAGCAGGCAGACTCTCAACCACTGTGCCACCAGGGAAGCCCATAACAAAAAATTTAAATATCAGAATACATTTATGAGCTGAACTTATGATCTTAAAACTTGCCTTGCTGACCTAATAATTGGTTAGAAGTACACCTAGGCAAGAATCCTACTTTTGATCTAAAAGGAAAATAAGGATATTTGCTACAGAACTTCATTGAAAAAATCTGTTCCAAATGGTAAAATATATCACTAAGACAATTATTGCTTAAAAGCCCATTGGAATTGTATGCAATATCTTTTTAAATCTAGTTGATATAACTTATATGCAGAATCTAAATAGAAATGGTACAAATGAACTTATTTCCAAAACAGAAACAGGCTCACAGACTTAGACAACTAACTTACCAGGGAGGAAGGGAAGGAATAGTTTGGGAGCTTGGGATTGACATGTACACACTGATATATTTAAAACTGATAACCAACAAGGACCTACTGCATAGCACAGGAAACTCTGCTCAATGTTATGTGGAAGCCTGGATGGGAAGGGAGTTTGGGGGAGAATGGATACATGTTTATGTATGGCAGAGCCACTTTGCTGTGCACCTGAAACTAATAATACAATATTAATCAGCTCTACTCCAATATAAAATAAAATGTTAAATAAAACACCTAGTTGTTCATTCAAAAAGAGAATTATAGTATGCTCTTCTTCCTAGACAAATTTTTGTTTGAATCAAGATAAGTGATTACTTTCATAATGACATTTCCTAGGTAGTTTCATTATACTCACATATAAAGACTATTTCCTGGACAGTAGTTACTTAACTTGCTTTTATCTAAAGTGGTTCATGGATTTTTCACCACTTATTTAAATCTCTTCAATGCAAAATTGTAATATAGCACATAAATAAAATGAGAATAAGGGCTTTAGCAAAGTGTTTTCTACTAACTGGAATGATTATGCATTTTTGCTCATTTCTTTATCTAAATCCTGATTGCACTCCCACCCTGTGTTGTGACACAGTAACATATCTCAATGTATTCCTAATTTAAGTGTTAAAAATTAAGGCATTTTAAAAACAAAAATCTGGGTTTTGTTCTTAAATAAAAAGCACTATAATTACAGTTTACAATATAAACTGTAATTAGGGACAAATACTGCTGTGGTTTTCTTACTATAGTGATAGATCAACATTATAACAGTTGGGTTGGCCAAAAAGTTCATTTGGGTTTTTCTCTAAGATGTTATGGAAAAACCCGTACAAACTTTCTGGCCAACCCTATACATTGTTGGCTTCTAAATAAAGTTTAATAAGTACTATCAGCAAAAGATGGTTCTCTTTTAGATATGAATACGTTTTTCCTATAAAAACAAAAATTTTTCACTATTATTAATTATTTGTTATACAGAGTATATTTAAACCATACTTTATGAGATAAGGGTTTCACATTGCCCTGCATCTTTTGGTCCCAAAGAATTCTCCATTTCTACCAAAGTATAATAACTAGGATAACAGAAATCTAGTCAGTTAGAGTGTTAAAGACAAGCATAGGAGGTAACTGATTGGGAACGGCTGTTGGTCCCTTTCTTTGGCCATCTCATCTCATCTTGTTCTTTGTTAGTGTACTGATTGCTCACTGCCTGATTTGTAGGGTGGAATGGTAGCTTGCTTATACAGAGAGGAAATAATCATAAGAACACTCTCTGCTGAATTATAGTATAAATAGTCACAAATTTAAAAGTAATATCCAAACAGGTAATTTAATCACAAGTGTGTGGAGACTCTGTCTCAAACTTTTATGTATTCCTTGACTATGGGTTAGAACACCTTTTCCTCTAACAGGCCCTTGAGGATATCATGGGGTCATTGTTTTGCATTTTGCTTTTACAGCAAGATTCCTTATGCTCACTTTTTGTGAATTGAACTCTGACCCACAGTAATTTTTTTCTTTGTGTTTGGAATTGAGGGCAGGGGAATACATTGGAATGCATTTACATCCAATCAATATTTATTGCTTACACAATAAGCAATAAGGTAAAATCTGGTTGCAATTTAAGCTATAAGATGCTAGAATCTTCCTAAATTATGGTATATATGTAACTGGAGGAAAAATGAGTAAAGGTACAGCCCAAAGGTACAAACTTAGGGGTTCTTTTATAGAAATCAAATGGGAGCTCTTGAAAACCACCTGGGGTACTATTGCCTTTTCACCCTTCAATTTCTACATCCTCTATACCCACATATAACCACAGCTTTCTAGGCAATATGTAGCACATACATCATTCCACGTAGTACAAAACTTCAGAAAAAAATATAAATTACATAATTATTATATATATTATAAAAATAATTATATATAATATATTATAATACATATTATATATATAATTGCAGCTATATATATATATATATATATATATATATATGGCTGCAAGAGAGTAAATTTTGTACACTCCTGCAGCTGAAAAGCATTTTATCATTGAATTAGTTGATTTGAGCACTGGAAATTCAAATCACATACACTCTCCTTATTTGCATGTCAGAAGGCAGAGTCCACCCAGAGACTTCCTGCTCACAGTTGCTTTAGAGAACTACTTTTCTGCTTCTCAGTGCAGAGGTGGGGCCATCTGCACTGTTTGAGGTTTTCTGGTAGGCGCATTCATTACTCTGCTGCAGCATTTTTAATTAACTGGCAGCTAGCTAAAGGAATTTTCAGGTATTGAAGCTAGATAGTAGGAAAAACAGAATAAAAGAAAATGAAGAACATGAACATTATTATTATTATTAGTTGACTCATATTCTGCAACAATACCTTGGATGCAGACCCTATATTTTGAACCAGCCACCAAGGAGCACAAGATCAATTACACGAGAATGAAAACATTTTGCTGTATTATGAAAGAGAACAGATCATCACAATTATGCAAAGTAGACCAAGCATTATGCTGTAGGACTTTATCCATAAAGTATAAGTGTTTGATAATTTCATAAAGGTAAAATATGTTCCCTAAAGTAGAGTGCCCTGGAAAGCGTAATGTACCACACAGTTTACTTTTTTTATATATAAATTAATTTATTTATTATTTAGTTATTTAGTTATTTTTATTTTTGGCTGTGTTGGGTCTTCGTTGCTACGTGTGTGTTTTCTTTAGTTGCGGCGAGCAGGGGCTACTTTTCATTGCAGTGTACAGGCTTCTCATTGCAGTGGCTTCTCCTGTTGTGGAGCACGGGCTCTAGGCACATGGGATTCAGTAGTTGTGGCACGTGGGCTCAGTAGCTGTGGCTCATGGGCTTATTGGCTCCATGGCATGTGGGATCTTCCTGGACCAGGGCTCAAACCCATGTCTCCTGCATTGGCAGGCAGATTCTTAACAACTGCACCACCAGGGAAGTCCACACAATTTACTTTTGATTTTGCTGGAGGTGCTTCTAAATAGCTCAATTAAAACAATTGTTTCCACTTGTGATTTAAACTCACATAAGTACAAATCTGTGAATATAATGGCATAATTCAAACCTACATCCATACCTATGTAACTTACAAGGAATTTCATAATTCTCTTTCTTACTGCATTTTCCAATTCCCTGTGCTATGATCCTCTTTCACAATAGTATTCTCTCCATGGTCCCACTCCTCCAGGTCTTACTCTCACCGATCCTCTGTGATTTTTGCTGGAGTCTTATAAAGAAAGGTCTATTATTTAGATTTTCTTTAAGCACTAACATAAGTTATTAAAAGGTGAGTGTTGATGGAATTCTAATGAATAAAGATGTAGTTCTTATTCTGTATTAATAATCATAATGTTTAAATGTCATAAGTACTATTCATCACAACCACCATTTTTTTCAGACCTTCACAATGAGTAAACTTGAAAAAAATCTCCCTGCCTGGTCTGATATAACCTCTGAGGCAACCAAGTTTCATTTTTCTTTTGATTCTTAAAAAAAAAAAAAATGGAGTTACTGCTATCAGATTTAATCTGTGTAAATAACCCCTACTGTTGGTAAGAAAAGATTTCATAAAAAGGCAAGAATTTTTTACTTCAACAATTTCAGTCAGTAGTCCTGGCCCATGTATATTCCTGGAATTGACCAGTATTTACTGAACATACTGAGTCAAGTGAATCACTACTTCTTCATGGATTTTTTTCTTGAACCTTAACTTCAACACTGGGTTTCACTCCTATAAAAGATTTTTGGGTATTCCTTTTTGCATTTACTACTGCTCTCTAACACTTAGCAGCACCTTTATCACTAAACCTACTTCCTTTTATGACTACCCTTGATCCCATTTCTGTCACTATTGGGGTAAACTACTAGCAACAAACATTTTAAATATTGTTGATTTTCCCATCTTTTTCTGTCACCTACATGACATTGATGCAATTTTTGCTTTATAATATTGTTTGAATGTGTATGTTCTTGCCTGTTATCACTGCCTCCACCTTGGGGCAAGAAACTCATGTCTCACAAATGGGAAATTACAATAGATTTCAAAGTATACTTCTGTCTTCAGTGGTTTGTGGCTGTATAATAGCCAATGCATTTTTATTTCTAGGATTTTTAATATTTTTTAATACTGTAGCTTACCCCATGCTCTCAGTATGGACTACTGCATGGTTTTCTTTCTCTTACTTCTAGGAATAATGTCACAACAGGACCAAAGAAGAATGAAGATAATATTTTTTCAAATAGAATTTTAAATTAATGACAGAGGCAGTAGAATTGTAAAAGCTCTTGATTTGTCAGTTCCACAAGAAAGGCTAGCCCGTCCCTCAGAATAATTATGAAGAGAAGATGGCGGAAGAGTAAGACGCAGAGAAAACCTTCTTCCCCACAGATACATCAGAAATACATCTACTGCTGGAACTGCTTCCATAGAACACCTACTGAATGCTGGCAAAAGACCTCAGACCTCCCAAAAGGCAAGAAACTCCCCAGGTACCTGGGTAGGGCAAATGAAAAAACAGAGACAAAAGAATAGGGACGGGACCTGCACCAGTGGAAGGGAGCCGTGAAGAAGGGAAGGTTGCCACACACTAGGAAACCTCTTTGCAGGCGGAAATTGTGGATGGCGGAGGGGGAAGCTTCAGAGCCACGGAGGAGAGCACAGCAACAGGGGTGCGGAGGGCAAAGTGGAGAGATTTCCGCATAGAGGATCGGTGCTGACCAACACTCACCAGCTCGAGAGGCTTGTCTGCTCACCCGCCGGGGTGGGTGGGGGCTGGGAGCTGAGGCTAAGGCTTTGGTCAGATCGCAGGGAGAGGACTGCGGTTGGCGGCATGAACACAGCCTGAAGGGGGCTAGTGCGCCACGGCAAGCCGGGAGGGAGTCCGGGAAAAAGCCTGGACCTGCCGAAGAGGCAAGATATTTTTTCTTCTCTCTTTGCTCCCTGGTGCGCCAGGAGAGGGGATTAAGAGCACTGCTTAAAGGAGCTGCAGAGACAGGCGCCAGCTGCAGCTATCAGCACGGGCCCCAGAGTCAGCATGAGACGCTAAGATGCTGCTGCCACCACAAAGAACCTGTGTGCAAGCACAGGTCACTATCCACACTTCCACCCTGGGAGCCTGTGCAGCCTGCCACCACCAAGGTCCTGTGATCCAGGGACAACTTCCCCAGGAGTACCCATGGTGCGCATCAGGCTGGTACAACTTCACGCCAACCTCTGCCACTGCATACTCAACCTGCACCTGTACACCTCCCTCACCCCGGCCTGAGTGAGCCAGAGCCTCCAAATCAGCTGCTCTATTACCACGTCCTGTCTGAACAAAGAACAGATGCCCTTAGAAGACCTACATGAAGAGGTGGGGCCAAATCCAAAGCTGAACCCCGGGAACTGTGGGAACAAAGAAGAGAAAGGAAAATCTCTCCTAGCAGCCTCAGGATAAGCAGATTAAAGCTCCACAATCAAATTGATGTACCCTGAATCTGTGGAATACCTGAATAGACAATGAATCTTCGCAAATTGAGGAGGTGGACTTTGGGAGCAAGATATATTATTTTTTCCCCTTTTCCTCTTTTTGTGACTGTGTATGTGTATGCTTCTGTGTGAGATTTTGTCTGTATAACTTTGCTTTCACCACTTGTCTTAGGATTCTGTCCATCCATTATTTTTCTTTTTAATTTTTTAAAATTTTTCATAATAATTATTTTTTAATTTTTATAACTTTATTTTATATAACTTTATTTGATTTTATCCTCTTTTTGCCTTTCTTTCTACTTTTCTCCATTTTATTCTGAGCTGTGTGGATGAAAGGCTGTTTGGTGCTACAGCCAGGCGTCAGGGCTGTGCCACTGAGGTGGGAGAGCCAACTTCAGTACACTGGTCCACAAGAGACCTCGAGCTCCACATAACATCAAATGGCAAAAATCTCCCAGAGATCTCTATCTCAACACCAACACCCAGCTTCTCTCAACAACCAGGAAGTTACAGTGCTGGACACCTTATGACAAACAACTAGCAAGACAGAAACAAATCCTCCATTAGCAGAGTGGCTGCCTAAAATCATAATAAGGACACAGACACCCCAAAACACACCACAAGATGTGGACCAGCCCACCAGAAAGACAAGATTCAGCCACATTCACCACAACACAGGCACTAGTCGCCTCCACCAGGAAGCCTACACAACTGAACCAAATTTAGCCACTGGGGACAGACATCAAAAACAATGGGAACTATAAACCAGCAGCCTGTGAAAAGGAGACCACAAACACAGTAAGATAAGCAAAATGAGAAGACAGAAAAACACACAGCAGTTGAAGGAGTAAGGTAAAAACCCACCAGACCTAAAAAATTAAGAGGAAATAGGCAGTCTACCTGAAAAATAATTCAGAATAATGACAGTAAAGAAGAAACAAAGTCTTGCAAATAGAACAGAGAAAATGAAAGAGACATTTAACAAGGATGTAGAAGAACTAAAGAGGAAACAAACTGTGATGACAACACAATAAATGAAACTAAAAATACTCTGGAAGGGATCAATAGCAGAATAACTGAGGCAAAACAACAGATAAGTGACCTGGAAGATAAAATAGTGGAAATAACTACTGCAGAGCAGAATAAAGAAAAAATAATGCAAAGAACTGAGGACAGTCTCAGAGACCTCTGGGACAACACTAAATGCAGCTACATTCGAATTATAGGAGTCCCAGAAGAAGAAGAGAAAAAGAAAGGGGCTGAGAAAATATTTGAAGAGATTATAGTTGAAAACTTCCCTAATATGGGAAAGGAAATAATTAATCATGTCCAGGAAGCACAGAGAGTCCCATACAGGATAAATCCAAGGAGAAACATGCCAAAACATATATTAATCAAACTATCAAAAATTAAAAACAAAATATTAAAAGCAGCAAAGGAAAAATAAGAAATAACACACAAGGGAATCCCCATAAGGTTAACAGCTGATCTTTCAGAGAAACTCTGCAAGCCAGAAGGGACTGGCAGAACATATTTAAAGTGATGAAGGAGAAAAATCTACAACCAAGATTACTCTACCCAGCAAGGATCTCATTCAGATTTGATGGAGAAATTAACATCTTTAGAGACAAGCAAAAGCTGAAACAGTTCATCACCACCAAACCAGCTTTACAACAAATGCTAAAGGAACTTGTCTAGGCAAGAAACACAAGAGAAGGAAAAGACCTACAATAACAAACCCAAAACAATTAAGAAAATGGGAATAGGAACATACATATCAATAATTACCTTAAATGTAAATGGTTTAATGCTCCCACCAAAGACACAGAATGGCTGAATTGATACAAAAATAAGACCTGAATATATGCTGTCTACAAGAGACCCACTTCAGACCTAGGAACACATACAGACTGAAAGTGAGGGATGGAAAAATATATTCCATGCAAATGGAAATCCAAAGAAAGCTGGAGTAGCAACTGTCATATCAGACAAAATAGACTTTAAAATAAAGACTATTACAAGAGACAAAGAAGGGCATTACATAATGATCAAGGGATCGATCCAAGAAGAAGATATAACAATTGTAAATATTTATGCACCCAACATAGGAGCACCTCAATACATAAGGCAAATACTAACAGCCATAAAAGGGGAAATCGACAGAAACACAATCATAGTAGGGGACTTTAACACCCCACATTCACCAGTGGACAGATCATCCAAAATGAAAATAAATAAGGAAACACAAGCTTTAAATGATACATTAAACAAGGTGGACTTAACTGATATTTATAGGACATTCCATCCATAAACAACAGAATACAAATTTTTCTACAGTGTTCATGGAACATTCTGAGGGATAGATCATATCTTGGGTCAAAAATCAAGCCTTGGTAAATTTAAGAAAATTGAAATCATACCAAGTATCTTTTCCGATCACAACACTCTGAGACTAGATATCAATTACAGGAAGAGATCTGTAAAAATTACAAACACATGGAGGCTAAACAATACACTACTTAATACACAAGAGATCACTGAAGAAATCAAAGGGGAAATAAAAAAATATCTAGAAACAAATGACGATGAGAACACGATGACCCAAAACCTATGGGATGAAGCAAAAGCAGTTCTAAAAGGGAAGATTATAGCAATAATATCCTACCTTAAAAAACAGGAAACATCTCAAATAATCAACCTAACCTTGCACCTAAAGCAATTAGAGAAAGAAGAACAGAAAAAAACCCAAAGTTAGCAGAAGGAAAGAAATCATAAAGATCAGATCAGAAATAAATGAAAAAGAAGTGAATGAAATGATAGCAAAGATCAATAAAACTAAAAGCTGGTTCTTTGAGAAGATAAACAAAATTGATAAACCATTAGTCAGACACACCAAGAATAAAAGGGAGAAGACTCAAATCAATAGAATTAGAAATGAAAAAGAAGTAACAACTTAAACGGCAGACATACAGAGGATCATGAGAGATTGCTACAACAACTCTATGCCAATAAAATGGACAATGTGGAAGAAGTGGACAAATTCTTAGAAATGCACAACCTACCGAGATTGAACCAGGAAGAAATAGAAAATATGAACAGACCATCACAAGCACTGAAATTGAAACTGTGATTAAATATCTTCCAACAAACAAAAGCCCAGGACCAGATGGTTTCACAGGCGAATTCTATCAAACATTTAGAGAAGAGCTAACACCTATCCTTCTCAAACTCTTCCAAAATATAGCAGAGGGAGGAACACACCCAAACTCATTCTACGAGGCCACCATCACCCTGATACCAAAACCAGACAAAGATGTCACAAAGAAAAAAACTACAGGCTAATATCACTGATGAACATAGATGCAAATATCCTCCACAAAATACTAGCAAACAGGATCCAACAGAACTTAAAAGGATCCTACACCATGATCAAGTGGGGTTTATTCCAGAATGCAAGGATTCTTCAATATATGCAAATCAATCTACGTGATACACCATATTAACAAATCGAAGAGGGAAAACCATATGATCATCTCAATAGATGCAGAGAAAGTTTTTGACAAAATTCAACACCCATTTATGATAAAAACCCTCCAGAACGTAGGCATAGAGGGAGTTTTCCTCAACATAATAAAGGCCCTATATGGCAAACCCACAGCCAATATCGTCCTCAATGGTGCAAAACTGAAACCATTTCCACTAAGATCAGGAATAAGACAAGGTTGCCCACTCTCACCACTCATATTCAACATAGTATTGGAAGTTTTAGCCACAGCAATCAGAGAAGAAAAAGAATTAAAAGGAATCCAAATTGGAAAAGAAGAAGTAAGCTGTCACTGTTTGCAGATGACATGATACTACACATAGAGAATCCTAAAGATGCTATCAGAAAACTACTAGAGCTAATCAATGAATTTGGGAAAGTACCAGGATACAAAATTAATGCACAGAAATCTCTGACATTCTTATACACTACTGATGAAAAATCTGAAAGTGAAATTAAGAAAACACTCCCATTTACCATTGCAACAAAAAGAATAAAATATCTAGGAATAAACCTACCTAAGGAGACAAAAGACCTGTATGCAGAAAATTATTAGACACTGATTAAAGAAATTAAAGATGATACAAATAAATGGAGAGATATACAATGTTCTTGGATTGGAAGAATCAATATTGTGAAAATGACTCTACTACCCAAAGCAATCTACAGCTTCAATGCAATCCCTATCAAACTACCACTGACATTTTTCACAGAAGTAGAACTAAAAATTTCACAATTTGTATGGAAACACAAAAGAACCTGAATACAAAAAGCAATCTTGAGAAGGAAAACCGGAGCTGCAGGAGTCAGGCTCCCTAAGCCTGATTCAGACTATACTACAAAGCCACAGTAATCAAGACAGTATGGTACTGGCACAAAAACAGAAATATAGATCAATGGAACAGGATAAAAAGCCCAGACATAAACCCACGCACATATGGTCACCTTATCTTTGATAAAGAAGGCAAGAATATACAGTGGAGAAAAGGCAGCCTATTCAATAAGTGGTGCTGGGAAAGCTGGACAGCTACAGGTAAAAGTAGGAAATTAGAACACTCCCTAACACCATACACAAAAATAAACTGAAAACGGATTAAAGGGCTTCCCTGGTGGCTCAGTGGTTGACAGTTCACCTGCCGATGCTGGGGACACGGGGTCGTGCCCTGGTCCAGGAAGATCCCACATGCCACGGAGCAGCTAGGCCTGTGAGCCATGGCCACTGAGCCTGTGCATCTGGAGCCTGTGCTCCACAGTGGGAGAGGCCACAACAGTGAGAGGCCCACGTACCGCAAAACAAAAATCAAAAACAAACAAACAAACAAAAAACGGATTAAAGACCTAAATGTAAGGCCAGACACTATCAATCTCTTAGAGGAAAACATAGGCAGAGCACTCCATGACATAAATCATAACAAGATCCTTCTTGATCCACCTCCTAGAGAAATGGAAATAAAAACAAAAATAAACAAATGGAACCTAATGAAACTTAAAAGCTTTTGCACAACAAAGGAAACCATAAACAAGACCAAAACACAACCCTCAGAAAGGGAGAAAATATTTGCAAATGAAGCAAGTGACAACGGAGTAATCTCCAAAATTTACAAGCAGCTCATGCAGCTCAATAATCAAAAAGCAAGAAACCCAATCCAAAAATGGGCAGAAGACCTAAATAGACATTTATCCAAAGAAGATATACAGACTGCCAAGAAACACATGAAAGCATGCTCAACATCATTAATCGTTAGAGGAATGCAAATCAAAACTACAGTAGGATATCATCTCACAGCGGTCAGAATGGCCATCATTAAAAAATCTAGAAACAATAAACGTTGGATAGGGTGTGGAGAAAAGAGAACTGTCTTGCACTGTTTGTGGGAATGTAAATTGATCCATCCACTATGGAGAACAGTATGGAGGTTCCTTAAAAATCTACAAATACAACTACCATACGACCCAGCAATCCAACTACGGGCATATACCCTGAGAAAACCATAATTCAAAAAGAGTCATGTACCAAAATGTTCATTGCAGCTCTATTTACAATAGCCAGGACATGCAAGCAACCTAAGTGTCCATCAACAGGTGAATGGATAAAAAAGATGTGGCACATATATACAATGGAATATTACTCAGCCATAAAGAGAAAAGAAATTGAGTTATTTGTAGTGAGGTGGATGGACCTAGAGTCTGTCATACAGAGTGAAGTAAGGCAGAAAGAGAGAAACAAATACTGTATGCTAACACATATATTTGGAATCTAAGAAAAAAAAAAAGGTCATGAAGAACCTAGGGGTAAGACAGGAATAAAGACACTGACCTACTAGAGAATGGACTTGAGGATATGGGGAGGGGAAGGGGTAAGCTGTGACGGAGTGGGAGAGTGGCGTGGACATATATACACTATGAAACGTAAAATAGATACCTAGTGGGAAGCAGTCGCATAGCACAGGGAGATCAGCTATGTGGTTTGTGACCACCTAGAGGGGTGGGATATGGAGGGTGGGAGGGAGGGAGACGCAAGAGGGAGGAGATATGGGAACATGTGTATATGTATGACTGATTCACTTTGTTATAAAGCAGAAACTAACACACCATTGTAAAGCAATTATACTCCAATAAAGATGTTAGAAAAAATTATGATTTTATGACATGGGAGAAGGGATTGTTGAAGAAGAGAGGATGAATGTTTGATAAAGGTTAGTGAAGCTTGTAATGGTAGGTCCTGACCTGAACAGGAGTGTATGGTGTAAGGATGGAATCAAATTTTATTTTTTATTTATTAAATGTATAATATTATTTAAGCTTTACTTACTATAAGAGCCATACTTTTTCCAATGATCTCCAATACCAGTTCAGCCAGCTTATCAATGAAGTTTCTCTACATGTATGGGTCTTTTTGACTTTTATTCCATAGCTGTAGTCTAAATACTAATCTCATGCTCTACAAACACTTTATCTTATTTGATAAGAAAAGTCATACTATTTGGCTGATTTTCTCAATGATTCTTTGTTATTTGCTCCTTCTTATAAATTTCAGAATCTGTTTATTAGATTTTATGAAAACAAACACACACAAGAACCAACTTAGGTGAACTGATAGAACATTAAATCCACAGATTCATAAATTTTTGGTAGAATCTTATACCTCTCTATTTATTTAAATCTGCTTTAAATTTTTTAATAAAGTGTTATAATTTTGTCCATTTCAGTTTTGTGTCTTTTGTTAGATTTATTTGTGGAAATTTATATAACTTATACATTATTAAATGAGAGTTTTAAAGTTACATTTCCTCACTATTTGTTGCTAGTGCATATGCAATTGCTATGTATCTATATATTTTTTATTGCAATTCTGTTGAACACTCCTATTAGTTATCTTATTTGACTTGTAGATTCTAATTTTATCCGTTATGATTGCTCACAAATATTCCAGTCTCTTCAATCTGGGAACACAATAGGATTGCACTCTTGTGCCCATTTGAAGTTAGGCATATTCCTGACTTGCCTTGGCCAATGAAATAAATAAAATGTGAGTGGAAATGACACGTCATTTCTGGGTGGAAAAATGCAATTGCTGGGGATCAATTTCAATTTTCGTTTCCACTCCCACTGCAAGTGTTATTGTGAAAATCATGTATGAAAGCTTTCATCTTAATTGGGTAACCATCAACTGGAGTTCCTGATGAAATGTCAAGAGCACTTCTCTGCTCAGTCTTGTTAGACATGAAGTGTGAATAAAATATGTTTTTGATTTTTAAGCTTCTGAAATTTTGTAGGTCTTTGTTATCAGAAAATAATCCAGCCCATTTTAATTAATACAATCCTACTGAAGTTTTACATATAAATTTGTCTCAAGAACAATAACAACTTAATTGTCTTTCTGTTAAATAATCATATTTCTATAGGTTCTTCTTGCCATAGCCAGGACCACTAGTATATTATTGAATAAATCAGAGTACAGTGTACACTCTGGTATTGTTCCTAATTATGAGGAAAATACCATTTAGTATGAGGTTTGCTTGGCAATTTTGTAGATACTTTTTATCATATTAAAAAAAATTTCTCTTCCATTCCTGGTTTGCTAAAAAGGAGTTTAGCTTTTTAAAAAATCATCAGTGGTTGTTGAATTTTATCTGATAATTTTTCTACATCTATTGACTTACAGATACAGCTTTTCTCTTTTAATCCTTTAATGTGGTTAATTATATTACTTGATTTTTCTAATGTTAAACCAAATTTACATTTCTGGGTTTTATTCAACTTTACCATTATTTAAAATATATTGCTAAATTCAATTCATTAACCTTTTGTTTAAATTTTTGTCATTTATTTTCTTGATCAAGATTGGTCTTATAATTTTCCTTTCTAATATTTTCCTTGAGATGTTTAGTTATAGAGATTATAAAATGAGTTGGAAAATATTCCTTATTTATCTAGACCCTGCAGAATTACATTAAGATTGAATGTATTTTTTCTATGTGTATATAATTCATAAGTGAATAAATATTCACATAGTGAGGACTGTGCTATACTTTTGTAATGATGAAGGGATGTTGAAACTGTTTGGTGGCTAGTGGTATATATAAAATGTATGACTCCCTAGTTTGGCATTTGAGGTTCTCTACAGTCTAGCTCTAGTCTCTTTTTTAAAATCTTAAGTCTAAGGGAAAATATTATTCTTGATTTCCATTAGCTATTCATTTTCTTTGTATAAATGTATAGAGTTGATATTTTAAGTACATAAGAGAACTTGTGTGGTCTTTCATAAAATCTTATCCCTTTCCAGATAGTTCTCTAAGGTCATGTAAATAAGGATTCACCCTTTAAATTCTAATTCCTTTTTAAGGTTGTTTCTTGTTCTACTACTCAAACTCCTACAACAGGAGGATGTTTCACCACTCTACGATTACAATGCATCATATCAAACTTATCCTCTCTCATAATATATGACCTCCTCAGAAGACTAATAAAATTCATTACAGTCCATTGTTTATAAGGGTAAGAAAATAGAAATTATATTGTAGACACACAATAAATACTTGTGGATTGGATACACTATTGAATGAATGACTATGTATTCTATACCTTCCATTAAATTGTAAGATTCCTGAAGACAGATTCAATACAGAGGTGTTCCATACACGTATATTAAACTGAGGAATGCATGGAATAAACCAGTGCTAGAACTGACCCAGCTATTTTTCCCCCATTCTATTTTGCTATCCTGTATGTGAAGAATATAAATTCACAAAAAATACATATTTTAAACACCTCACAATTTTTTTTTTCCTGAAATGGAACTGAATGTGCAGAAGGAGTTAACAGGAGAAGGGATTCCCTAAGGAGGTTTTCTCTAAAAGCAGCCTTTTTTTAAAGATTGCCTCAGGGATTATTACACTAAATGCTCATAGTAAAATACAGAGTAATGTGGCTTCCGTGTGCTCCTCATGCAGTCAAAAGGACTATGATATTCATGTGTGTGTGCTTGTTTGTGTGTGTGTATGTGAGTGTGTGTGGAACAAGGTAGAATTATAAATAAATATTTACATAATATAATCAAAAGTGACATGTTGTTCCACAGTTAGGGATCATGAGACATGCACAAGACCAAATGTGTGGTATTTTCTTTAATTAAACATTTATAAATTAACAACACAATCAGATATTCTCCAATTAAAAGCTAAGGTTTTAAATAATTAGAGATGACAATGTGCTCCTTGTTCTTTTCTAATCTGTGAATTTCAAGTGTCTACTAGTTATCAAAATGAAAATTTAGGCACTACCCTAAAATTGAGTCATCCATGTCTTTTAGAAGACACAGATGCAGAGAAATTTCATGTGTCTGGTTGTGATCCCAGTTATCATTATGATGTGAGTCTAATCATGTGGAGATTCTCTAGGGCCAAAAGAACAGCAAGGTCCAGTGAGGAGAACCCTTGGGAGATTTGAAAGAAAACATGATGCAGAAGTACTTGGGCCTCATTTATATTTCAAGCTGCTGAATTTGAACTTTATTTAAGAAATAATAGTACTGACAGAAATAATATCAGTTTATACTGTTAATTGTATGATTTTCAGTATAGTACCTTGTTATGAGATGCAGTGTTGGGTAGTGGATAAGAATATGGACTTTGTAATTATATTGTGTGGGTACATACCCACTTCTACTGCCTATAAACTGCATGAACTTTAGCAAGCTTTACAATTTCTTAGTTTCCTCACCTCTAAACAAAGACAATAATAGTAAGTACCTCTTTGGGTGGTTTGAGGAATTAATGGATTAATAAATATAAAGCACTTATGACAATGCCAGGTATATTGAAGCAGTTTATAATAATTATTATTATTGAGGCATAATATTAAAATAGAGTTAACAGTGAGCTCCATACCTGGGGGCAGAGAGGCATGTGGAAAAGCAAAATTTCACCTTAAAGAAAATGACTTTGAATAACTATCAGATATGTTCATTGTATTTAATCTTTGTCGCTTTTCTTCTAGTCAAATTGTGACCAAACATAAATCTTGTTAAATAAAAATTTTGGAAAGAAATGTGACTGGTATATAAAATCTAGAATTTAGATGACTGAGATTTAGAATGGACAAGAAAATGTGACCTTACAGTAGCAACTTCTCCTGAGAAATTCTTTATATTTCCTCCTATCAAATAAGGGCAGGAGTTATAATATATACTAAGAGGAGAATGACATTTAAGGAAGAAGGTTTGGGAAATTAACATGATTAAATCTTTTTGAAAGGCTCTTTCTTTCTCCCTATCTCTGTCAACTTTTGTCTTAATTATTGTTCAACTCCCTTACAATGGCAGGCAACATGGTTTTTCAAATAGGCCCCAAACAGTTTCTGTTAAACTTATGTTACACAGGACTGTGTAGCATAAGCAACCAACTGCTTACTAGACAGTTTTATTTCAATATTCCACAGGCAATTCAAACTCCTCAAAGGAGCCTTTCATCTGACCCCATTAAATCAGATACTTATTTTTTGCCTCTTTTTTTAGTGAAAGACACCATTTTTCACCCAGTGACTCAAGTCTATATAAAGCTCTGGTTCATTCTAGCATACTTCTCTTCCATATTTTCCACATGTAAGTTTCCTGCATTCTGGGAATTTTGTACCTTTTAGAGCTTTTTATCCAATCCTTTCTATTAATTAACCAGTCACTCCCTTTTGAATTAAGCTTTCATATTTTGTTAATCTCTTGGCTGCACAATTTCATACTTGTTTATCCTCCAGGCTC